TTTTCTTCTTTAGGATTTGGTAATAAGGACCACTGCCATCAGGCCATAGATGGCAGTAATAACCATAACCACCGGAATGTTGGACATTATGATCAGATCTAGCGTGATTCCTGGAGGTGATGCCCAAGCCACCATGCAGAGCCATACATGGAGCCAACGTCCTGAATCCCATGGCGGCCAAGAAGCCCATGACAAAGAAGTGTATTCAGGTTTGGTTCCAGACATAAGTAGGTATGAAGGAGTAAGTTCATAGTGTGGAAAGCATATCCCAGAATGGGACAGACACTAAAATGCAGCAAGTCTGTGACCTAATTGGTTAGATCCATTTTTTTTAATTAGAGCATAATTTGCATAAAATGTATAGATATTAAGTATACAATTCTGTGAGTTTTGACAATTCTGTACACTAATAACCACCAATAAACAGAACATTTCCATCACCATAGGAAGTTTTTCATGCCCCTTTCCAGTCATCACATCCTGCTCTCCTCCCCCACCACCTTCCCCCTGCAGAGGCAATCACTGTTCTGATTTCTATCACCAAAGATTCGTTTTGCCTGTTCTAGAATGTCATAAAAATGAAATAACATAGTATCTAGTCTTCTGGCTTCTTTGCTCAACATATTTTTGAGAGTCATCCATGTTTTGTGTAATACAACTTGTTCCCTTTTATTTCTCAGTAATATTTCATCATATGCATACATCACAATTTATCCTATTGATTTTTTTTTCTAGTTTTCAGCTATTATGAATAAAGCTGGTATGTACATCCCCCATACCCCAGCCTTATCATTGACTAGTAGTATTAACATTTTGAAGTCTTTTTGTACACATAGGATTTTGTTTCTCTTGGATAAATATCTAGGAGTAAAATTCTTAAGGGGTGAAATAGATATATATTTAATTTTATTAAAAAGCTGCCTGTTTGGGGCACCTGGGTCGCTCAGTTTAAGGTTAAGTGGCTGACTCTTGATTTTGGCTCAGGTCATGATCTCAGGGCCCTAGGATCGAGCCCTGCATCAGGCTCCCAGCTCAGTGGGGAGTCTGAGAGTCTCCCTCTGCCACTCCCTCCACTCACGCTCGCTCACACACTCGTTCTAAAATAAATCTTAAAAAAAAAAGGCTGTCTGTTTTCCAAAGTGTTGTACCGTTTTACATTCCATTAGTGATATTTGAGAGTTCCAGTTACTCCAATCCTTACCAGCACATTTGGTTTGTTCTTTCTTTTTTTTTTTTTTTTAAGATTTTATTTATTTTGAGAGAAAGAGCAAGAAAGAGAGCCCAAGCAGGGGGGAAGGGCAGAGGGAGAGGGAGAAGCAGACACCCCACTGAGCAGGGAGCCTAACATAGGGCTCCATCTCAGGACCCCGGGATCATGACCTGAGCCAAAGGCAGACACTTAACCAACTGAGCCACCAGCATTTGGTTTTAAAGAGTCTAATGGTATTGTCAGTTTCTGCCTCTATAGTGAATTATATTTTCTTTTGAACAAAACAATTACAGTTCTGCAAACAAAGAGCTAATGACACCTGCAATAATTTAACCTTGACTTCCTGAATGGTCTTAGCAATTGGAAGTTCACTACCCTTGCTTTCACACTTGCATTGCCTATCACAGTATTATATCCAACAGAGGATTAATCACCAATTAAATTGTTGTGACTGGATATTTAATACTATTAAAGAATTATTGAAATTTAGAAGTGTGTTAATAGGATTGTGGTTATGTTTTTAAGGAATTGTTTTAGAGATACATGCTGAAATACTTACTTTTAATATCTGAAATTTGCTTCAAAATAACAGAAAGCGTCAAGACTGTGTAGTGTTTGACATTTTACCCAACTTAAAAGCTGAGAAGTTAGCCTGTCACAGTTTCATGGATGCTGGCAAAAGACATGAGACTCCTGGGTCAGAAATAAAAGGATTTTATTACTCATAGCAAACCAGTAGCCGAAGCCTCATGTTCATTTGTTCAGTTTCCCATGCCCTTCAAATCCCACAGAGGTAATGCAAAGGGCCCATATAATGGGTTGCATTACAAAAGAGGAACACTGAGATTTAGCACTTGTGTAGTAAGTGGAAGCAAGCCTGCTCTTTTTCCAGGGGGAGACATTACATCATCCCTCAAGATTGCTCACAAGGATGCAAACACAGACTTGAGAAATGGCCCAGGTGAAGAGCAGGCAGAGAAGTGTATTCTTGGCATACTCAACGAGAACATGCAGGGATACTTGGGCTCTATAGCAGATTGCTTCTCACAATTCACTCCTCAGTGTGACACGTTCTTAGCCAAATACGAATTTTTACACGAATATGCTGCTCCATCAACCACTCTGATTAATCAACAGAGGTTAGAATCTCACAGCACTTTTAACTTAAGACTGTCATCATTTAGACTTGAAGCAACAGATGAAGCCAACATGTGGTACTGACCTCATTCTCTCCAGGGTTCCACACTTAGCCGACTGTGAATAAGCCCAAGAGGGCAGCAGTAGCTCTTATTTGAGGCAGCCATGATGTATTCTAAGGCCAGGCCATTATTCATTATGAACAGTGCAAGTGAGTTTCAGCTAATCTGCTAATCTTTGGTGTCATTGTCAATCATTAGGAGGGCAATAGGTGGACAAAAAACCAACCCCTATCCCCAGTGGAGAGCCATCTCATGACCCATTTTTTTTCCCATCCAAAAATATAACCAAAAGGGCAAAGGTCACTTCAGAATTTGTTGTCAGACCTGATTGGATTATCATCACATTGGTTTGATTGAGTCACATGGACAGTGTCACCAAATAGTTGCAGCTCCAGTTGCCATTTTTGGCATTACCCAGAGCCACTCAGACATCAAAAGCATGTGATCAGCCAGATTGAATCAAGGTTGTGTTGATCTGCCAGTGTGTACACATTTGCATTTGGGAGCTGCGGTTGATGGCTTCAGGCATAGCAGAATAGTTCAGGACCAACCATGTCTATATGAGTTTTCTTGTTTTCTTGGCACATGGACCCAGATGAGAAACCCAGTAGCAGGTCAGACTGTTAGCTGCAACTGCCACATAATTGAGGTAGCAGTTTTGGATTAAGTTAGCTGTTCTCAACTGGGAGCAATTTTTTTCTCCCAGGAGACATTTGGCAATGTCCGAAGACCTTTTTTGTCACAACTAGGGGAAAGGTGCTACTGGCATCTAGTGGGTAGACGCAGTGATACTGCTAAACAGCCCACAGTGCACAAAACAGCCCCTCACAACATTGAATTATCTGGCCTAAAATCTTAATAGTGCCAAGACTGGGAATGATCTAGGTAACAAAGAGTACATTAACTGCTGCCCTGCCCACCCTCTTAGGACCTCAGGTGTTCTCTCCTCTGATGCCAGGGGAGATACTTATAATTTCATCTTTTCTCCAGTCATCCCCACTTTCACCCAGACCTTTTGTCCTGATTATCACCCAGGAGGCAGCCGAGAGAGGATTCTTTTCTGGGGATTGCCATATTCTGTGACCCCCAACTACCTTACTCAGGTATGTAGAACCAGGAGGAAGTGAGGGTGGTAGAATCAGAAACTTGTTCTCAATGCCCAGCAATGCTAGATATCTGTGGGTGGCAGAAAGGCATGAAATATCCTTCAGATACTCGGCTAAGTGGCCTTTGTAACAAAAAGTGCCCCAACGTCAGATTGTAAGTGGTCTGGAAAACTAAGAACATGGCACATATGGTATTAGTTTCAAGGGCTATAGTTGTGTAGTTGACCAGACTGGGACAGCAACATCATAACCTAAAAATTCATCAGCGGTGCTGAGGCATCATCAATTACCCTGAGTGGTGGCAGTGGAGTCCAGTGGAGTCCGTCTGTCAGTAGTCAGTCTGCCTTCATTCATCTTGGGACACATGGGCCAACTTTTGGCAGAGTCACATGTCTGGCATGCATGAGAAAGAGTTCTTTACTCTGTGCACAGCCCTTAATGGTGAACGCGTTGCCATGTGTGGGGGCAGTCTGGGCGGTGCGGGCTTGATCGATAGTTTGATTCTACTAGGTCGTGTCAATCTGGGTGGTGTGGGCTTGATCGGTAGCTTGATTCTACTAGGTCATGTCAGAGCTGGCCTTTACCAGATGGTCCAATCAATAGCCACAATTTGTTCCCACAATTTACAGCCCTAAAAAAGGGATGTTTTTAATCTGCCTGAATAGTCTTTCAAGTGGCACACCAGATGGCTAGGCCATGGGCAAGGAGTCAGCAAAGGGGACTGTTCATCAAGGGAAGTACTGGCAGATCTATGAGAACCGCCTTGAATTCAGCTCACTGAGCAGTGACCACAGTCACTTTAGTTTTGCATAGCATGAGTACCATCAGCTTTCAACTTAGCTGAGCCACCGGTGATTCAGATTGTGTATTTAGGGGATCTCTTCGAAGTGAGGGCCCCCATGAGCCAGCAGCTGTACTTTCAGGCAGTGGGGTGGGAGACATGGTTTCCCAAGAGTAACTGTCACCACTTCATGAAAAATGAAGATGCTAAAGCTGCTCCAATTTTTACTTGACCAGGAAGGCCCATTTACTGAAACATGCTGTCTCCAATACCCAAAGCATCTAAGGAGTTGGGCCTCCTTTTGTGGCAGGTCAAAGAGAGTTCTCCTGATTACTAAAGGGATTAAACATTCTAAACCCACCCACAGTCCCAGTTAGTGAGCAGGCCAACTAGTTTTACTGGAGGTTATCAAACACCCCTGTTGGAAGGGTGATAGAAACCAGTCAAAGCCTATGAGATTAAGGGTTCTGACTTGCCAACTAATAGGACATCTATATAGTGAAAATACTGGACATCAAAGGGTAGAGGCCCTTGTGTTAAATCCTGGCCCACCCACTGGTGGCGAATGGCAGGGGAGTTTGTCCTATTAACACTTTTCTAAAAGTAGCAGTGCCCTGGATGGGATAATCTTTGCAACTTTATAGCACAAGCATGTACACATCAATCTCAGGCTTAGCAGCAGAATATACAGTAGTACGCTGGACTGACCCAGAGGTGTGCACACAGGCACACATTTATTCCGAAAGTATAATTTTTCTCCATTGCAAGTTTTGCACAAACCCTATCAGTTAACTTGAATGCTTTATTTCCTTATTTATAGCAGGTTGTAAGATTTTTCTGTAAAGGACCAAGGGGCACAATTAAGGATACTATGTAGGCCTAATGAGCAGAAAATCTCCACAAAATTTTTATTAAGTTGAAACTAACAGTTGTAATTTTTTTTTAAATAATAGAAGTCTTTCTTTTGGGGTTGGTGACATTTCCCTTAGTGTTCAAGTCCGCAATCTCCATCATCAACTGCAAATGTTCACCTATTAATGCTGATTTGTAATGAGATTTTATGTATTGCTTCTTTGAAGGGGTCTTCTCAGGTAGGTGATACGAAACACTGCATTCTTACTGTGTCGCTACAGTGTGCATTGTGCTGCCCCTTAGTGTGGAGTGATGAGTGTGCCGAAGATGGCCTGTCAAAACTACCCAACTCTGCCGCTGCAGGGCCAGAGGCAGCAACTGATAGTACCTAAAGCTGAATGTGGAGCTGTGTTCCAAACTTTGTGTATACGGAGATTTGAATTTCATATAATTTTCACATATGATGAATTTTTTTTCCACCCATATGAAAATGGAAAAACCACTCTTAGCTTGCAGGCCATCGAAAAACAGACACTGGCCAGATTTAGCTCATGGGCAGTAATTAGCTGACACATCCTACAAAAATACAACCCAAGGAGTTTATCACATGGATAGTTAGGGACTGCAACAGCTGCCAGGAAATCACAGGCAAAAAGTCCCCAATAAAGGAAACCAAATCAAGGGAACAGAACAAATGCTAAAAACCTTAATTTATGAAAACTCCGCCTCAAAAAAAGAATTACAATTACATTCTCACAGAGTATATTTCATACCTGACACTATTCCATCAGAACAACTACCAAGATATATTTTATAAACTCACTGGATTAAAAAAAAATTCTTTGGGCTTCTAGCCAAAACAGAAAGTAACTTATTTATAAGGGAAAGAAAATTAGAATAATTATCATCAGACCTTCATTAGCAATGTTTTATGCCAGAGAAAATGCAGTAGCATATTTAAAATGCTCAAAGAAAAAGCCAAGGATGTTCTATCCAATAAAAGTGACTTTCAGATATAAAGCACACTGACAAACTGTACTAAACATGGAAGAATTCAGAAAATAATGCCACGAGAACTTCCTGAGGAATTGACCAGAGAACAAGCTTCAATCAAATTTAACTACAGAGCTTTTTTTTTTTTTTTTTTAAAGATTTATTTATTTGAGAGAGAGAATGAGATAGAGAGAGCATGAGAGGGAGGAGGGTCAGAGGGAGAAGCAGACTCCCCGCCGAGCAGGGAGCCCGATGCGGGACTCGATCCCGGGACTCCAGGATCATGACCTGAGCCGAAGGCAGTCGCTCAACCGACTGAGCCACCCAGGCGCCCTAACTACAGAGCTATTAATGCAAGGACTGAAGTGGGCATTAAGGACCTATATACTTGTAGCAATGAGAGTACTACATAAGGCCTAAAAGGGAGCAATGAGACTACTACATAGGCCTAAAAGGGAGAATAATGGCAATGTGCTCAAGCAATGTTAACAGTACAACTATAAAAATTTAGTGGGCCAGGGCACCTGGGTAGCTCTGTCAGTTTAAGTGTTCAACTCTTGGTTCTGGCTCAGGTCATGAACTCACGGTGGTGAGATTGAGCCCCTTGAGCCCTGTGTCTAGCTTGAGTTCAGTGCTTGAGTCGGCTTCAGATTCTCTCCCTCCTCCTCTGCCCCTCTCCCCATTCGCACACGTGCATTTTCTGCCTCTCTAAAAATAAAATCTTAAAAATTAGTGGGCCATGTCACATTTTCAAAACACTGTCCAATAATTATGTTGGTGATGGTTAGACTACTGTGCATACAATGTGGGATGAATGATGGTGGCATATTCTGTCGTAACATTGTGACACTGAGAATGTCCATGTCTTTTCCAGCTTTTAGAGGCCACCCACTTCCCTTGGCCCATGGCCTTCTTTCTCCATCAAAGTTAGTAACATCAATCAGAACCCTCACATTGCATTATCCCAATCTCTTCTGCCTCATTTTTCCAGTTAAAAACCTGTGTAGTTACATAACGTGCACCCAAATTATCTAGGATACTCTCCCAAGCACCTTTTTGCACATTAGTACACACTTTCTAATACCACTCAACTGTACACATTCAAGAAGCAAAAGCCACTTTAAAAAAAGCAAAAGTCAGTTTCAGATCAACTGTTAGTTTTGCTGCCTAATCCAATCATGCCTGAACACAAAGGTCTTGTTTTTGAAGATTCCCACATCCCTGGTTACAACAGTTGTTTTCCAATGAAAGACCAAAGTAAAATTGTTCCAATTAGAGTCAAGTAGAGAAAAGCCACATGTGAATACTTAGGATCTATGTGTTAAGTTTCTAAGATACTTAAATGGGAAACAGGGAACAGAATTACCCTTTACAGTATTTCCCACTGGTTGGAAGTTACCCACCTTCAAGTTGGCCTAAAAGATAACTTGATTAAACCCGTCATCAGACAGGCTGAACCATTTAAAAAATTCAATCACATATTCTTTCTGGAACCATTTTCAAATGAACACTTGTAAGATAAAACAGATAAGCCAAGCTCTATACAGACGTAGCAAATTGGAGCTTGACTATTATCACTAAATAATGTCCAACACCCAAGATAAAAACTGTTTAATTCCAGGACCCTACCCCCAGTGACCCTTTGTTAGACCCCACTTCTGTCCGCCCTGGAAAGGAAGCCCCTGTCATTTGAGATCCAAATGTACAACTAATGTTTTTTACCGAAAACATTTGCTTCTTCACTATGGGGTATTAACAGGGAATGCCATCCATTCCTTTATTCAACAAACATTGAACTTCTAGGCACTGGAGGTATAGTGGTGAATAAGACCAAAAAACAATCCTCATGGAATATTCTCGTAGACACAAGTAAAAACTACAGAAAAAAGTAACGGGAAATTGGGAATGCCAAATAGGGCACAATTTTTAATAGGCCACGCCTATCATTGGGGTCTACTGAGAGGTAAAGGAGCAAGCTCTGTGGCATGTAAGGGAAGAGTGTTCCACGCATAGGGAAAACAAGTGCCAAAGCCAAGGTAAGAATGTACCTAGCCAGCCCATCCAGGAATAGTGAGGGCAGCCTGGCTAGAAATGTTAGGGGAATGGTAATAAGAGGTCAGGGGCAAGATCAGTTTGGGCCTTGAGTGAACAGACCATCTAAAATTCCTTATGAGGGGACGTAGGGAGGCCAGGTAAGTAGTAACAATCCAGGTAGTCATGATGGCAAAAGTGATCACAATGGAGTTGGTTAGAAATGGTGAGATTCCAGATATATTTTGAATAAACTGGATCAAGGATGACCAGAAGATTTTGGCCTAAAACATAAGGGTGGGTTAAACTGTTAGGATCCAGAATACCATTTTAGACCTGTCAAATGTGAAATGCCTATTTTATATCCAAGTAAAGAGGATAGACAAACCTATAGTTCAAAGGTACAGGCTAGAAATAAAAAATCTGCATGTCAGCTTAATATATTAAATAAGAGTATCTAGGGAGAGTATTGATAAATGTCCAAGGACTAAGCCCTAAGCCTCTCCAACTCTAAAGTCTGAGATGAACTAGTAAAGAGTGGCTACTGACATGGGAGGAAATCTTTAAGATTCCAGAAGAAAATCAACTGTCGGGGCGCCTGGGTGGCTCAGATGGTTAAGCGTCTGCCTTCGGCTCAGGTCATGATCCCAGTGTCTGGGATCGAGCTCCGCCATCGGGCTCCTGGCTCAGCGGGGAGCCTGTTTCTCCCTCTCCCCCTGCTCATGCTCTGTGTCTCAAATGAATAAAATCTTAAAAAAAAAAGAAAACTGTCAAATGTCACTAGAGGCATATAAAATATAGGTCATAAATAGACCATTTAGACTTAGCAAGCAACAAAGTTATTGGCAACCTTCACAGCAACAGCTTAATTTAAAAGTAAAATTAGGTACAAAGAAAATGGATTACTCAAACATCAAACAAAGAACTGCTCATTGTCCAAGAAAAAATAGTTACCTTTTTTGAGTTTTGCTATATAAGGGGTTTGAGAGTAGGGTGTTACCTGGAAGGGTATATTTGTTTGTATGCTCATGGTAGGGACTGGTTGAATATCAATAAAGGTGAAAACTTCTAGAGCCATGAGCTTGATTAGGCAAGGAGGGCAAAAATGCTAATATATGTGGGAATTTAAGTTCTCTTCTCTCATCTACGTTAAATTTTTCATGGTTTTAAGGTCATCAGCTGATCAAAAATGAGAAAGTTGGAAGTGAGAAGGACTACAGAACAGAATGGGTGAATGACTAGAGGAAATACTGGCTAGTGGGCAGCATCAAATACCCACTTATTGACAGGTGATCAAGAACCAATTTCTCTAGCCAAGTTCAACTTCACAGTACTGGTGCACAGTGTGGCATTTTGCTGCTAGAGGGAAAAAACCCAAAACTCTTAAGTCAACGGGCTCTTCCCATTATTCTATCAATCTAGCACAGTGGTTTTTCAAGTCTGGTCCCTGGCCATCACCATCACCTGGAAACTGTTAAAACGCAAGTTTCCAAAAAAAGCAAGTTTTCAGGTCTCACCCTACAACTACTGAATCAGAAACTCTGGGGGCAGAGCCCTGCCATATTTCAACAAGCCTTCCAAATGGTTCAAGAACCATTTAAGGGATACCTGGGTGGCTCAATCAGTTACCTATCTTCCTTTGGCTCAGGTCACATTGGGCTCTTTGCTCAGCTGATAGCCTGCTTCTCCCTCTGCTGCTCCCCCTGCCTGTATTCTATCTCTCTGTCAAATAAATAAAACCTTAAAAAAAAAAAAAAGATTTCCTTTTATTAACCCTCTATACTTCCAGATCACTACAGCTTAAAATGGATCACTACCCTTTTGCAGCTATTTAGTAACACAGAGCAATGGATAAAATCCATACAACAGTCTGGAAAAGTTCACATCACCATCAGTTCAGAATATCTGATTCACCAAGCCCACATTATTTAAAAAGAATCATCAGAAATTAAACATCACAAATACGATTTTTTATTTGTCACCATTAAATGTCTGACTTTTAAACAGATTCTTGGACTGGTGGCTCATATCCATCAGCTCGTTCAACTTTAGCACCGGTCTCATCCCCAGTAGCTTTTCCAGAACTACTACCTTCACCATGAAGCTCCATGAGCTTTCCCACTAAAAGAAAGAAAGAAAATGTTATAGCACCCCATTATCTTACAACAATGGTCTTCAATTCTTTATGGGCATGACAGAAAAAAAAAGCCATCATTTGGACTCAAAAAACCAAGACACCAATGTATCTGGCCACACATTTTTCTCTCAGGAATCCTATGATTTTTCACTTACATTCAAACTTGGGCTTCTTCAGCATTTTTACTTTTCTAACGAACACATCATGGAGTGGATAAATAGACTGACAGGCCTTTTCTATATCTTTTCCGATGCTGTCTGGAATCCTGCAAACCAGTAAAGATAGAAAAGGATAAATTTATACATATTAATACCCACTTCATTTAATCCACTCAAATCCTCATCATGTAAGACAGTCTATTATTACCCCTTTACAGGTGGAGGTTAAATGATCCGAATTATACAGCTAGTTAGTAGGAAAGTTAGCATTTGACCTTTCTGCCTTTTCTATTCCACCCTCTTAGGCAACTGCATGGGAACGTCAGAAAAATGTTAACAGTGTTATCAGTGGACATTATCTGGGACTGAAACATCTTGTCATCATCTATTCCCATACATTATTGACTATGGAAACAAGTTTTGCCTAGTCAGTATATTTTCTAATTAAGACAAAAGCATTTCCTATACTTCAAGTCTCACTATCCACCATGAGATTGCTTCATTCAAATAAGGATAAAGAAACCAAATCACATTTACTGAGCACTTAACATGTTTTCATTTTAAGGAACATAGCCCGACAATTTCACAGACAGGATTTTTTATTATTATTTTTTTGGACAGAGAGAGAGACAGCGAGAGAGGAAACACAAGCAAGGGGAGTGGGAGAGGGAGAAGCAGGCTTCCTGTGGAGCAGGGAGCTTGATGGGGGTCTTGATCCCAGGACTCCAGGACCATGACCCGAGCCGAAGGCAGACGCTCAACGAATGAGCCACCCAAGCACCCCACAGACAGGATTTAAATACAGGTCTGACTCCACCTTGTTTCATATACTTTCCTTCATCTGAGGGATAATCAGATTCAGGGTTATGTGGTATGAGGAAAAAAACACTTACAATTTATTGACCACTTCTTTCAAGTCATTTGTTTGCACCTCTCGGGTCATGATTTCCATCATCTTTTTCCGAATTTGACGGACCTGTTGGTGCTGAGCATAAGAGGTCTTCCGAATCTGATTATTGCGTTTTTTAGTAAAACCAACACAAAATAGACGAAGCAAATAACCATCGGTAGTCTTGACATCAACATGAGCTTCAATCATGGTCTAGTGAAAAAAGATATTGTCAGATGTACCAGGTTTTAATGTTATCAACTTATAGCCCTCAAATTCTAATATAAAAACACTAGAAAAATCAAGTACTCATCATACAATATAAAATAACAGAAACTACAAGCCTAAAGAATTAACTTCCTTGAAGTGAACTTACCCAGTTACTCCAAATCTTACTATCCTTCATAACTAATAAATACCAAATCCTCTCAACTCTCTTCCCTAGGTAACACCTCTATCCCCATCTCAACAGCACCCAGCCCCCCAAATCTTTTACGTGCAGCCTTTAACAGCCTTCCCACGAACCAACTGTACACCGCTGCATAAGAAAACCAGTTCTAAGAGACTCCAGTCTACACTTACTCCTTTTTACAAAATATGTCTGAATATACTGCTATAACACTAAATGCCTATTTTTTAAATGTTCTTCATGATCCAAACTAAAGCCTGATGACGATTAAATATTCAATTTCACAGCTAAAATGTAATAAAAAATCCACTCACTACTGATATTTTTGCCTCAAGTTAAAAAACGAAAATCACCTTAGGTAGCAACAAAAACTGAAATACCTCTGTTGCATTTTGTAAATTGTGTACTTTAGTTTATAAACGAGTAATACACTTAGAGCAAAAGGACCTTAGAATTCTATTTCCAGAAATTCAACCATAAAATCTTCTGGGAATGTCAGAAATAAATGTAACGGTATAATCAGAATGTATCATTTGGGACCGAAACATTTTGTCATCATTCATTCCCGTATACAAAACATCCCCAAACTGAAAGGTTAGCCAGACACACCTGACCAATGTAATTATTTCCTGTAATAACAATGCTTTCTAAATGCTTTGTGTCAAGTGCTGTGCTCAAGCATGTTTAATGGCTCTTTTATCTTCGTAACTCCAAGAAGTGATACTCCTACCTACCTACCATTTTAGATAAAGGAATCAAAGCTTAACAAGCTTTATGTCACAACTGGGAAATGGAGCAAGGATTCCAACCTCACACCAGAGGCTCTGCCACTCTTAGCAACTCTGATAACCCACTTTTAATACAAGTAAATAAATAAATCTTGAACTCCACTTAAGTAAGAGGATGGCTTGCTCACTGCTTGACTCAAGTTCAAGAGTGCCAATCCCAGGGTCAGCACTCAATAAAAGCTAGAAAACATCAAGGATTTGAAATGAAATCTACATATGCTCCTCCTTCTCCTAACAGGGCATCCTTGGCTATGCACGCCAAAGCACCATGCACACGAAGGAACTTTTGTTCTCACCTGCCATTTTTTGACCATGGAGCACATTTTGTCACGGGTAAGATCCATGCCATGGAAATTAGTCAGGCAGTTTTTGCCCTGAACATCCTCAGTAATTAGCTTGAATTTTCTAAATGCAACTTCATCGTTCTGCAAATCAGCAAGGCTCACTTCAAAAACACGACCCTTGAGGCCATCAGATGCGATTTCTATAAAACAAGAAATTGTCTTATTAACATTAGGAACCACATAAAGTCAAGCCAACAAAGAACATTCATGCATAAAGTTGAACTTAGAAACTTAATTGTATATAAAGATCCTGGCTTTTGTGAACCAAATCCACGTGGACACCAATGACTTACTGACAATTCTCACTAGAAGCTCAAAAGTACCTAGGCACATTTTCTTAGTAATTCTAAAAGCACCACCTTTCTTCTACAAGTGTTGTACGAAACAAGCACCACCGTGGCCAAAGCTGCAACCAAGAGCTATTTCCTTAATTCTCCCACCAGTAGACCTTAATTTAAAAAAATGCAAAACAAGAATAAAATACTCACTGGTTCCTTGAGTTCTTGTGACTAATGTTTTTCCAATATTTCTTATATTGAACATAGCTGGTGCTTTCACATCATACCAATCTTTCTTAGAAAATGGATCAACCCTGTATTTTAAAAACATTTAAGTTTTATCGCAAATCACGTAATTCTCACTGAATTTTTAAAACTTTCCTCACTCTAATGGTTTTAAATGACTAACTGGCATGTAAGCAACTGGGGTGTAAGAACCTACTCCTCTCGGTGAGGTGAGGGGCGCATATTGCAAACCTAGCTCTTCCCCACGATGTCTGCTTCACTATACACAAACCGGACACTTTGAAAGTTTACCACAAACGTACACACTCCCCACCCCATCGGTTCTTCGGCTACACAAGCAGCATTGCCTCCAAACAACATGCACGTCTCTTGAACTTTACTGGTACGTGAAGACACGTACTGGTAACCCCGGCTCTTCAGGGATTCACACGAGCTCATGAGAACGCCGAAGGTCCCACCTGGGCCAAGAGAGGAAGGGGTGCGGGGTCCCGGCTGAACAAGAGTGACTTCCTCAACTCCAGCTCTCGGGAGCAGTACCCTCTATTACCCGTGGAATTTACAAGGCCGGGAAGCCCACAATACGGAACACCCCATCTACGAATAGCGTCGGCAATTTAGCTCAAAACGGGGGGCGAACAAGGCCAGAAGGCCAAAGGCAAGAAGCCGGCCCGTGGCGACGCAGCACCCATACCCGCCAGGCCGCCGTTCTGGGTTTACCAACCCTGCACGGCCCTCGCAATCCAACGGACATCCTCACCATCCGGCCCACACCGCCATCCAGAACCCACCCGCCGAGCCCAGCATGACCCCAAAAAGCTGGGGGCCAGGACAGAATCCACTTACACTTTCTTCTTGGCTCCCTTTTTGCCGCCTTTCGTAAGGCGCTTGTTTTTGCCGACCGCCATGGCGCTGCTCAGGGAGCCAAAAGGGCGGAAGTTAAACTCACGCGAGAACTTAGGCGTCCTGGGCGAGGCGGGCCATCTACGCGACCTTCGATCTTGCGTTTTTCCGGCCTCAAGAATATCGCGACAACAGAAAGAGGAACTCCGATTGTAGCTGCGACAGCGCCCTCCCGTGTGTGGAGACTGCGCAGCACGCCGCAGGCGGCTCTCCAGGACGCGGTGCTCGGGAGGGGCGGGCGCTGGCGAGGGCGGCCTGGCGTGCGAGCCCGTGGTTGCAGTTGGTTTCCGTGGCTCTGAGGCCCGGAAGTAAGTTTCCGTGGCAGGAGGCGGCCTCTGCGCGTAGTGAAAAGCGGACTTACCGGTTTACTGTCTTTTCTGGAGACTATGGGAGTCGGAATCAGACAGCCGATCCAGTTTCAAATGCTAGTTTCGGTATTTAGCCTGGTGACTTATCTATGCTTCCGTTTCCTCGTATTTAGAAAGGAGATAGTAATATAATCTGCCTCATAAAGTTGTCAGTAGGATTAAATAAATTAGTGGGATTTAAATAAGTAGTATTAAATAACTGTGGAGATACTACTAATGTTCCGCATGTTGATAGGACTGCTGGTTGGTGGGGAATGTTCACTTGTGAACATCAAGTTACCCCCTTGTGTACTTTTCTATACTTTATTATACACTGATATGAAGTTAATGATTGTTTCCTTGGGGGACTGATTCCACTGTCCCAGATTTTTTAATTTTTCAAGAAAAGCTGGGAATCACCAAACTTCATTTTTTGCAACTGATGCAAAAAAAAAAAAAAAATCTTTTTAATTATAGGGGTTTAACAAAAAACATCCTGGTTAGATGTGGCTCATAAGCTTCAGGCGGTGCAGTCCCGGGAAAGCTGGTCCATACAGGCCTGGTATTCAGCTAGAGGTACGTTGAGTTCTGGTCTCTAACTTCCCCTCTCGCAAAAACCCTGCGACCCAGCCAGAAACCAGGCCCCACAAACCTTTAATCCTGTAATCCCTTTCAGTCCTAACGTCCATCCCCTACCTCCTACTACTCCCACCATCCAAGACAGTCTCCCTAAATCTCCAGTCCTATCCTGAAATCTTTCAGTAATCCCATTAATCTAAGGTGCTTATATAGCATAAAGTCCTTATTTCATAACAATACGAATATATTTAACACTACTGAACTGTGCACTTAAGAGTGGTAAAGATGGGGGGCGTCTGGGTGGCTCAGTTGGTTAAGCGACTGCCTTCAGCTCAGGTCATGATCGCAGGGTCCTGGGATCGAGCCCCGCATCGGGCTCCCTGCTCGGCAGGGAGACTGCTTCTCCCTCTCCCACTCCCCCTGCTTGTGTTCCCTCTCTCGCTGTGTCTCCCTGTCAAATAAACAAATAAAATCTTTAAAAAAAAATAAAAAAATAAAAGAATGGTAAAGATGGTAAATTTTATGGCTTGGGGTTTTTTTTTTTTTTAAAGATTTTATTTATTTATTTGAGAGAGAGAGAGAGAAAGCAAGGCAAGCAAACAGACTGCTGCTGAGCAGGAGCTTGATCCCAGGACCCTGAGATCATGACCTGAGTTGAAGGCCCACGGTTAACTGACTGAGCCACCCAGGTGTCCCATGGTTTGGTTTTTCGTTTGTTTTTCTACCACAATTTAACCCAAAAATCAAGTCGATAGCCAAGCCAACAAAAACTCTTTTATCTGGCCCTCATCTGTTTTCATCATCACTACATCTTGGCCTTTACCAGCTCCCCCAACCCGTTTAAAATTCCCTACCCGGGCGCCTGGGTGGCTCAGGCGTTAAGCGTCTGCCTTCGGCTCAGGTCGTGATCCCAGGGTCCTGGGATCGAGCCCCGCATCGGGCTCCCGGCTCAGCGGGAAGCCTGCTTCTCCCTCTCCCACTCCCCCTGCTTGTGTTCCCTCTCTCGCTATATCTCTGTCAAATAAATAAATAAATAAAATCTTTAAAAAAATAAAATAAAATAAAATAAAATTCCCTACCCTAGGGGTACCTGGGTGGCTTAGTTGGTTAAGCATCTGCCTTCTGCTAGGGTCATGATCCCAGAGTCCTGGGATCGAGGGGCTCCCTGCTCAGCGAAGAGTCTGCTTCTCCCTCTGCCCCCACCCCTGCTTGTGCTCTTTCTCTCTCTCAAATAAAATCTTAAGAATAAATAAATAAAATAAAATTCCCTACCCTGAACAGTTTTCTCTTCCCTTCATTCCTTTTCCCTTAGCAGCAAGTAAATACCTGTGCATTTTCAAGACCGCTCAGCCTCATTTCTTCTTTCAGTGAGATTGAGTCCCCAGACAAATAGGCTTTCCCTCAGACCTGTTCCCAGAAGACCTAGCTCTACTTCACTTCTTAGTAACTATGGATTAAAACTGTTCCTTTCTTACTGTGAGCAGGAGTGACAGAGCAGTCATTTTCTTATTTTTAGATTTTACCAACCTATAAAAAAACAAAAGACAACTGCCATTTACTATCTGTATCACTTCATTTTTAGATTATATTTTGACCCCAAAATAAAAATAAAGAACATATCCTCTAAAAAGTCAGTCCTTTTAAGTAGATAAATCAACTTTATGAAAACCTCTTTAGACCATATTTTTTTTTTTGTCTTACTGCAGACTGGTGAAAACTAGTGACCAGTGGAAATCGGTGAGTCCTTCTAAATATAATATTGAATCTAATAAACTCTTTATTAATTCCACACTTATAGTAACCTTGACTAAGTTTACTTTATGGGTGGCAGTTCACTTAGTTTAAAACCTTCCCAGTGGAAAATGTTATAGACCCCAAGGCTACCTATTCCAGAATAAAAACCAAACTTGTCTTCTTCCCAGTCTGATTCCTCTTTCTGCCCAAGAGTAAAAAAGCCACAGAGGAGGCAGTAACGAAGTCCGTTGCATCTAGTTTCTTCTAGCAACACCAGCACCTAAGGGATTTGTCAGAGGTACATATTTGAATCCTCTGTTTTGTAATAAAAGCTTTTTTAAAAAAAAATTGTGTTCCTTGACACATTAAATGGTGCAATTATCAAAACAGATAATGAAAGACAGCACAGGGCATGTGAAATCAGGTTATTGGGTCTCAACCATCTGAGAATTTTAAAATTCAGATAGAATAAAATGGAACAGAAAATTGTCAGACTGCATCAAACCTAGTAAAGTGTCAAATTGTTTCATTAATTTTCTTTTCATCTGTGACTAATCTCTTCAATTGATCTAGTGATTTTTAGATTTTGATTACTGTCTTATTTCTAAAAGGTTAACTTAGTTTTTCTTCAATTTGTGTCACTTTGTAGCTTCTTATTCTTTAAAGGCATCTTCAATATAGATTTAAACCAGTAAGCATAATTGTCTTATAGTCACTGTATGATAATTCCAGTATTTGAATTCTCTGTCAGTCTGTTTCTATTATCTATTTTTGTGTTGGCTCTCTGATTATAGTTTATCTTTGTGTACTGGTCATTGCATTTGAAAACTAATATTTGGGGTACCTGGGTGGCTCAGTCAGTTAAGCATCTGCCTTTGGCTCAGGTTTTGATCCCAGGGTCCTGGGATGGAGCCCTGCATCAGGCTCCCTGCTCATCGGGGGAGTCTGATTCTCCCTCAACCCCTCCCCGCTGCTGGTGATCGATCTCTCTCTCACGTGTTCTCTCTCTCTCTCTCAAATAAGTATATACAATCTTTTTTAAAAAGTGAAAACTAGTATTTGTGGGAATAATTTGAGGCCTATGATGAAGATACCCTCTTTCAGATAAGATATGCATATCCTTCTGCCAGAGTCCTGCAGGCATTTAAACCAGCTTTTTTTGGCTTTAGGCTTCCTTGGCCACCCAGGAGGTTCAAATCCAGTGATAATTCCTTATAGGTGTCCTACTCTATATTCAGCTCTTAATGGTGTAACCCTGTGAGGTCACAGTTTGCTGAAGGGAGGATCTCCTGTTAGACTTCACACCTCCTATGGATCCTGGGATTGGATTTATGTCCCTGTCATCCAGAGTGACTATCCAAGTCAGTGTTCCAATTATCTGGAACCAGAAAATACACTTAGGGCAAAAGTAGTTTGGTATTTATTTATCTTGTTTATTCCTTTTTTTTCCTCCATCCTGTTTTGGACACGTAATTCCTTACTAAAAAGAATACATTTTATTATTATTTTTTTAAGATTTTATTTATGTTACACCCAATGTGGGGCTTGAATTTACAACCCTAAGCTCAGGAATTTCATGGTCTACAGACTGAGGCAGCCCAGCGCCCCCAAGAATAGCATTTTAAGTAGAGTTTTGGTTTGGAAAGCTTGGGGAACAGTCGATCATTTATTTAACTGATGTTTAGAAATTTCTTCCATAGATGGAAAAATTTGAGGAAATCTTGCTTTGTTATCTTAAATTTTTAAATTATGCATTCTGTTCATCATCCTGATAAAATAAATGCAAATTTATGTCTTTTTACTGATGACATTATCTTAATGCTTAAATGGTATTACTAAATTTTAACCAGATTGCAGTGAAACTAGTGCTCTCTCATTCATCCCTGTTGGTATTTTACAGTAAGCGATTTGAAAAGTAATTTGTCCATGTGATTCAAAAACCATCAGTGTCCTGCAAATATATCATAAGGAAATAAATCAAAATTGGGGAAAAAGCTGTAGGTGTAAAGATATTATTCAGTCTTAATCACAAAATTAGAAGATGAGAAATAGGGCGCCTGGGTGGCTCAGTTGGTTAAGCGACTGCCTTCGGCTCAGGTCGTGATCCTGGAGTCCCGGGATCGAGTCCCGCATCGGGCTCCCTGCTCAGCGGGGAGTCTGCTTCTCCCTCTGACCCTCCTCCCTCTCATGCTCTCTGTCTCTCATCCTCTCTCTCTCAAATAAATAAATAAAATCTTAAAAAAAAAAAAAGAAGAAGAAGAAGATGAGAAATAACCTAAATGCTTTAAAATAAGGAAATGGAAGGGATGCCTGGGTGGGGCAGACAGTTAAGCCTCAGACTCTTGGTTTCAGCTCAGGTCATGCCCTTGGGGTTGGAAGATGAGCCCCATGTTGAGGCCCGTGTTGGGCTCCAAGCTCAGCCCAGAATCTGCTTAAGACTGTTTCTTCCTGGGCGCCTGGGTGGCTCAGTCATTAGGCGTCTGCCTTCAGCTCAGGTCATGATCCCAGGGTCCT